CTTTTTTATATTATAGAAAAAAACAATATTATTTTTTAATTCTAGAAATCATATACTATTTTCACTATTACATTCATCTAAACTTTAAATTTAAAAAAATTTAAATAAATAAGAATGATAAACAAGTAGCACAATTCTTTGTTCAATAAATTCAGTTCTATAGTCTTCGAAAGTTTTTAGTTTAGATAAATGTAAATTCTTTCTCTCTCTCATTGATTTTTTATGATCTAATCTGTTAAATTATTTTCTCTCTTTTCAAGAATTCTGTTTTCGATAGCGAACAGAGCGCTAATTTTACTTTTTGGACTTCTTTCTGACGTCATACAGTCTTTGGTCTCATAATCGATTTGATTCAATCTTTGAATTTATCGAGATTCTTATTAATCTTGTAAAATATTCCTTTGACGAGGATGATTTATTAAGATTATTGTTATCATACATTTAATCGATCGAATTCTAAATAAAATATTATGTATATGAAATTTGTCAAACATAATTGTGAAATTTAAACGATGAAGAATAATTTCAAGCTATTTATGGAATTGAAAAATTTCTGAAGTTAAATCTTCGTAATTGCTTTCGATGATAATAATTGTTACTAATTATTTAAATTATATTTCTAGATAATAAGTTCCGCAATATTGAACGTTTCCAAAAACTTTAATATAGAGAATTGCAGTTAATATAGAGAATTAGGAATATGAATATCGTTTAGACCGTTGCAAAAACGAACCTGAACTCTCTTTTGGCCATTCAATTACGAGATCTCGACAGTATTTCCTACACTAACGAGCGAACACAAGCAATACTCCCTTCACCCATCGCAATTTTATTGATTTAATGCCGCACTATTTGTCTCCGCTTTTGTATATATAGCATTTTGTTGATTATTATCGGGCGGGAATATTTTTATTATTAATATACGTATTTATACAATTAAACTCACAATTATAGAACTTCAATATTATTATTTGATGATCGCGTATTATTTGCGGTGATAATGCTGGAATAAATAAACAAAACTTTGTCTTGAAAAATACGTACGATTTTATAAAAATAATTAAAACGTCAAATTTTTTTCATTAATTTTACACATTTGCGGAATACTTTTTCTTACATATACTCTTTTTGAATGTCTAAACTAGAATTTTTAGAAATATCCTCCTTCCAAATATCACAAGAAAGAACTCGTATTTAATGCAAGATAAATAGACGAATAACATGGCTATCAATTACGTAATTGTAGAACAAGACGACTTACGATTTTCAAACAAATCCGATTAAATTACAGATAGAGATATATCTCATCCGAGCAAATCGCACATTCAGCTAACTATAATCGAGGGAATCGAGTGCTGCGGCACGCGTTTCATGTGATGCACTTGCGGTTGAATGTGACCCTTCCCCCACCTCTCTCTCTCCTCTCTCTCTCCTCTCTCTCTCTCTCTCTCCTCTCTCTCTCCCTCTCTCCTCTCTCTCTCTCTCTCTCTCTCTCTCTCTCTCTTCTCTCTTGTAACGAATAGCATTACAGACTGAATAAAGTTTACGGTAAGTCTTTCTCTGTGACAGTAGCTTGACGTTAAATGGATTTTAACTGTTATTATGTATACAGTATGAGTAAGCGTTGTGGCACTCTTAGTGAGAATAATGCAATTTCTGTGCTCTCCAACAAACAAGTTCCGTTGTGTCTTGCGAATCTCTACATGTACCACGTTATATTATAGTACGACAGAAAGCTTTTGAGGCATTATCGCGATGTATACATATGAACCACGTAAATCATCTTCTTTATTTTGGGAAACGTGAAACTTCAGGCAAGTATCTGGCGTAAAAATACTCAAATACTTTAACCATCGCCATTTATTTGCGGCCCTACGGAGAGAAATCCAAGCCTCATTGTCATCCTAAAATAATTATACGAAGACTAATGCCTCGTGAAATTCCAGCCAGTCGCTCATATGAGAATATCATGCGAGGAACGGTGGATTATACTGCCGTCGATGGCGGGGCAGTAAATTTACTCGCCGTCGGAAAGTGTCGCGCGGTCGGAATTTGCGGAAAGACGCCGGGGCGACATGGAAGAAAGTAATTTAGATCGCTCCTCAAAGGAACCCTAACTTTGAAACGCGCCACGGAATTACTACCGTTGGATCGTGAATCGGGCTTCTTGTTGTAACTTAGACTGAACGGTTTTATAAGGATTCAGGAATTTAGACGGAAATAAACGTTCAAACCGGTGTATTTTGTCACTTGTTGTAGCGCAATAATTGTCCTGTTAACAGAAGAAGATGCTAACCAAACACTGCTAATTCTGTACATTAATAGGTACATAAAAATAAAGGATAAGGTTATATCATAACTTTTAAAACTTGTACATTTTATTAACATATCGGCAGTTTATGTCTGCAACATCTTATCTATAACAACGGCTCGTAAAACTTGGTGCAAAATTTTTGCAAAAAGTTATGCCCTCAGCCGCAAGGGAGATCGATGCATCATCGCGATGCAACGCGTGTAACACGATAAACTGCGACGAACGGTAAACATGGTATCGTCGAGTACTTGGTACAAAAAAAAAGATCGCAACTTCAGCAATCTGTTTTTAGTTTCGGAGTTAATATTCCTCCCGAGGACTAAATGTGCTCCCGCATGTTTACGAATGTATGTAACTCCGATATACATTGTTCCGACATCGTACGCTGACGCTAAAAGTAAAACGACTATCAGGAAATGGCACGAGATGCCAAAGTTGGAGGAACGAGTTTAGTTCGCCGTGATCCTCTAGACGAATTTACGTACAATCATATTATAAACTGCAGTCATTAAAAAAAAAAAACTTCAAAAACCCGCGAAATTGCAAAGTCCGAGGAATCATCGCGCTATACTTTCCATGTTGTTAAAATATATTTACGAATGTCTCTCTTCACCGATGTGACTTAACTTTGGTCTCAATTTAAATGGCTTCTTATCCTCTTTAATTATAGGAATTAAGAAAAAGTAAGGAAACAAATTAGCCCGAGAGTTGATTTGCATTGATATGAAATGAACGGGAGAAATCTAAAGAAAGCGATTCGACACAAATTCTCCTCCTCCTTATAAAATGTATTTTAAACTAATATGCAATGCGTACGTGTTATTTAAACAACGTGAAACCTCTTTTCGTACGAGAAATAAGTTGGCATGTTACTACCAACAGGAATTCGAGTCGATCATTAATGCGTCGTCGAACGGAACTCTCTTACACGTCCGTCCTCGTTGTATTACGCAAGCACGCAATAACTTCCACCTGTCCGTGAGCATCGTACGTGTTCTGAATGTTATTCTAGCGGGAATAGATTACGATTTTATGGAACAAACGCTCTCTCGCTGTGCTCTGCGAATGGTATTATACCATCGAGTTATGTCGTCTTGATATACCTTTCACTCAAAATATAAATCGCACGTTTATATGATCTGACAGTACCTTAGTTGACAATACAAAACAAAACGATAAAAGGTTGCCTCGCTCGGAAGATAGATTTTTTTTTTTCTCCTCTCTTCAATATGACAGTACTGGAAAAGAAACATTATCAACGGAATAAATGCGACGAGATCGATTAATTTTTTTATAAAATCATTCAAAACTACTATTTCTCAATGTAACTAAAAATATGAATTATTTTCGTAAGTTGCTATTTGTCGCGGTTTTCTGCAAAATATCACGTATCCTAAAACTTATTTAAACAGCTTGCGTACAAATTAAGTAGATATTTGTCGTTCAAGTGCACTCCCGTGCACACCGATCGTTCAATTTCATTTTATAGAAAGGCTGAAGTGCACCTGAGACGAGAGACGGCAACGAAATCGCGTTCGCGCTCGGCGGAATCCTTCACATCTATCGATTTACAGAGAAAATTTGCGGAAATTTCTATCAAACGTATACTTTACAAAAAATAATGTTTACTCGGTAGAATATCACGGCAGCGTCAGATAATTACGACAACAGCGCTTAAATTATTCTCAATTCTCATGATGCATATTGCAGATACATCTTCCATCTATTTTTATCTTATCTCTAAAACATTTTTTTTTAGAAGGCGAATATTCTCTTAAATTTTAAATGCGTACGCTATCGGCTAAAATATGACCCAATTTTTATGACTCACTCCGTCCGGATGATATTTCGGCACGCCACTCGGCGTCGTGTTGCTCCCACAAAATTCAGCAAGAACATCCTGGAGTTTCCGCGTAGAATCTGCAAAACAATTAACACTTGATAATTCATTGCATTATACGCTATTGAGTATTATATCGACATATTAAAAGGAAGTAATAATCATCAAACATTCAAAGATCTAAATAATATATCTCTTAATTAAAAGTGTTGCTTAATAATGTTAAGCACATTGAAAGCGAAACTTTGGATAAAGAGATTTTTGACGACATGTGAAACAAAAATTTTATAAATATTTAACGTACTCTTTGTCTCTCTCTCTACCTTGAGAATTGGAAATAATTTAATAAACTTAATATTCTGGCGAATAAAAAATATAGCTAATAATTACTGAAATAAATCGCAATATTTCGCAGGAAGTTCTTTTCTCTCGTATTATACGATTCGACAGTGTCGACGAATGTGTGCACGAACAAGTTTGTCATTGTTTCTAATAGATTAGACGGAAAAGAGGGAGGATGATTGATCCAACCATCTTGAATTCAACTGTTTACAGAAGAAACAACGACGATAAATTGACTAATAATAGGAGGCCATTGGCCTAATCTACCCGCACCGACGTCATAATGCACTTAACAGACTGGGATATTTTTGGGCGACTACTATTTTCGAATCGATTGATCGGCCACGATGGATCGTATTCGGACGGTCAGATGATTAACGCACCCAGCTGAAATTCATGTTTCCGTCTCGATATCGGCCTGCCTCGCGTAACCGCTGACGATTATTGAACGATTGTTTTATATCAGGAGAACGTTTGCACAAATAAATAAATAAATTGCTTGTAGATATTAATTTTGTGATTTTTCACTCGAAAGGTACGGTACAGTCATCGCATTGAATTTATTCGGATATCTGCAAAAGTTTCTTCAAAGAAGAGAGAGAACGCACAGCCAATAATGATAAATAAATTTAATGTTGATTTTGTTGAATCTTTGATTCGCGTAGTCGTGATTTATAATATTTTTGCGTTATTTTTTTAATTTCCAGAGAAATGGGGAAAAAAATCTTTATTCCTAAGATTCCTATCCTCCAAGAGATATTATAATAGTATTACTTTTGTGATCTCTCGTTCATCCCACAATTTTTCTACTGTGAGTCTACGCTTGGCGTTCTATAAGACGTTGCCCTATTTCGAGTAAAAGATCACCCGGGATGATAGCCGCGTTATGGTAATGCCGGTATAAATTTGTTGACGAACGATAGCAATTCGTTCCACTTACGCGAGAAACGTTGCGACAACGTTTGTACGATGAATTAATGCTTCCCCGCGCATGTTGCTTCTTCCCGAGGGATATGCCGGGCGTTGCTACAGCCTCACATCTCTGTCAGCCAGACGTAAAATACTGGATGGTGGAACACCTGTATGTCGTCAAGCGCGCGATGGCGAGGAGGCTTGAGGAGGTTTATATACGCGAAAAATTCGCGGCGCGTTCACCAGCGACCGGAGTAAATCGCACGCAAATACACAATGGAACGACATGTATTTCATGTATTTTCGAATCTATTATATCAGCGAGATTATGTAATAGGGCGGCTTTGCTCTCGTGCTTTAATTTTAATTCTTCATTACGAAGAGTTTCTCGAAATCGCGCCATCGTTTTTACCCGCGCGAAAATATATCTACGAAGCTTCCGGAAAATTATTACAAACCACTAATCCAAACATTTTTTATTAAAGTCAATGCGAAAACTGTAAATTACCTGTAAGTTACTTATTCTCAGTCAATATATACGAGGTTTTACGACGGAAAGATACAACATTTATATAATGCCGATTCGATATTTGATATTTTTCCGTCCAACACGATAGTATTTACATTTTACATCCATCTTGTATGTATTTTTAATGACTTTCATTCAACAAACTTTCTATTGTTGACTTTTATTCCGCATAATAGAACAGAACCAATTACCACTTCATTTCAGTAATATTTAATTGAGTTAAGTGCTATCTGTAATTAAAGATAGTGCCCTTCGCACTCATACATATTATTCCAGAATATTCACTATAGCAAACGAATCCCATGTAATTTGTAAATTAAAGGTGGAAAGATTCCGTATAAGATTGCTTTGAGAAAAAAAAAACATTTCACCCTACCGAGAGCATCTCGAAACGCAAAATATCCCGGTCAGACCTTTTTATACATTTTCATATTTTCTTATATGTACCGCACGTACAATAATGGACAATGTCATTATATGTCTTTCGTTGTTCAAATAACTTAATTTTCCGCGACTGTAATCCAATTTGTGCGACGGTAGTCACCCGATAGCGCGCCATAACACTTCACTTACTTCCATTCACTTACTTCCGCAACGGAACTTTTAAAGAACGCAACAGGCATCACGAAACATTCATCTGTATTCAATTGAGGTGAATTCGCGACAGGTCTATAAAATTACCGTGCATACGATTCGAATCCGGAACAAACAAAATTACGCCGCGCAATTTGATTCATTCGCGCGACACTGCTCGGCTAATTAGACCCAAAATTACATTTTGAAAATGAGAAAAAAGTAAAAGTAACGCATTGGCGTTGACGTCGAAGTAAATGAAAATAAAATTGCGACGGACATCATTCTTTTCTTTCTTTTGTAAAAAATTATCCTGGCAAATTTACATTATGTAGAATATCGAAACAATTTGAGATCTGTTATTAATAAACTCGTTTACCGATAATTAGTTAAGAGACTAATCTTCCTCAAGTGTCCGCAAATTAATAACAGCCTTCTAACGCGCCATATTAAGCCAGATGTATATAAAGTTGCTCGTGCTAAATTTTGCCGACGCTAAGTCAAAGTTTGTTAAACTTCATCAGCAACGCAGACTTTGGAATTTATGACCTGTAAAAAAATTTCAAAAGGGAAGGAGGAGATCGCCGAGCTCTCCGTTGCGATTTATCCGCATTATTTTACACGTTTCAGCACTTCCTCCTCTGTTTTCTCCTTTTGTTACTTACAAGCTGCCAAGTCCTGAAGTTGTTGAAATTCCGCTGGCGAGAGTTTATCCCAGTGAAAGGCCATCCTTACTTCTGGTCTATGTGTCCCTCAGGACGAGCGGCCAGATATTGGATACTGAAATTCGTCACCTGCAAATCAAAAGACATCGCTATTTATAAAATGCAATTGGCTGCCGTCATGTAGCTTCGTAATTCAACAGGATTTTCAGATGGAATAACGAAATATTTCTATTCTGTATTTTAAATAATTGGCGACTATTACTCTTATCATGAAAAAATATAGTATTCGATAAATTTCAATTAATTGGTTAAAAGAACAAATTATATTGCAATCAATTGTGTCGTTACAACATCAAATCAATTTTATTTGAAATTTTTTACCTTCTTTAAAAATATCAGAAACTTTTTGAGCAGGAGAAACTTATTAAAAATAATGATTTAAAAATATTTATTTATAGTCCGTTGAATTACGTAATTTAGAATGCAGAGAACGCGACACATTTAACGAAATCAATATAAAAATAATACGTTGACGCAAATAAGGTAAATTAATTAACAAAATAATCGAATTTGTAATGTCAAGACTCGTTGTGATTAATGAGGTAAATTAATCCGTTAAGTCAACATGTAAGCGAGTTTGCTGTTGATTTACTAGTGGTTTATATTAATATAGTCCGCTACGATCTCGCACCACACGTTCGTCGTGTATCAGTTGTTCGTGCTAAAATTACAGATTTATGGCCGCTATGGCCGCCTTTTCTCTCGGTGTAAACGCGCCTATGCAAGAGAGGAATCCGAAGCGATCGAGCGCGTGTTTTTCCCACAAACACGTGGCGGCGGCTGGACACATGCTCTGTCAGCGAAATCCGTAACGTCCGATGAAACTCGTTCACTCGCCGCTTCGAACGGTATCTCCCATTTCACTGTACTGTCTTTAGCTGAGCACGCAAAAGATTTATCCGCAAAGAAAAAAAGCCAGCACGATATTCGCGCGTCCAGCGGACACGTAAATCGGACCTTTTTTTCGAAATTTCGTGTCGAACAAACAACTACAAAAGATTAAATTTTTGTCGAAATGTAATCCGTAATAACCGACTTTGACCGAAATCGATACTATGCGTTAAACCACATTTCTGTTCTTTTTTTTTTTTTTTATATTGTAATCTAATTACTAAGTTTTGAAAGAATTGTTCGATCGGATATTAATCGTTATCTCGAGCGATGTTAAAGGTACGATCGATCGCACTTGCGGAGATAGATGACGAGAAGGGAGAAATATATTCTTATTCTTATCAACGATATTGTATCAACGATGTTAATATATAAAAATCTTGTAATAATAAAAAAAATTAATTGTAATGTAATAAAAAGATGACATTGAGCGTTAACTTTTAATTTCTGATCGTAATATTAATATTCTAGAAAATGCAATTTAATGGTTCATGTTCCATGACTTGATAACTTTGTATTCTGAAAATGAGATTGGCATTCCTGATCAAGTTGTATGCTATCAATTTCGAAAATAGTTAACCACTTACGCACTTACGCACGAAATAGACTTTCACCAGCTTTTGCTTATGTACAAGGAAATTACATGGTGAATGGAATTAATCTTTTATAAGAGCGTAAAAAAAAATAGGTTTGCCCTAACTATATAATATTAATGTAGATCGAAGCATTTTAAAAATTAACGTGTGCATTCAATGCATCTATCATAAGATATATAAAACTCTAACTCTTTTACTTTTTTTTCTTAAAAATTATACATTATAAATATAATTGATATGTCAAGCTCGTGTAGATGTATAATATTAAAAGAAAAAAGACCAAAAAAAGAAACGAGTACGAAGATTATAAAAGTTTCAGATAAAATTAATAATCAATAATAATAATAAGCAATATATTCTAGATCCTTTCATACCACGCACACACACATATTTAAAAAATTTTTATATTTCATATTTTTATTTTATTTATTTATCTACCACACTGTTTTGAATTAATTATTGAAGAAGGATCAGTGTAGCCCGAAACGTGTTAATGTTAATGTATTGTCAACTTCTTTCTTATGCGTTTTTATTTCAATATATCGCTTATTAATTTTATCTAAAACTTTTATAGTGCTTTTTGTGCTTTTTTTTGGTCTTTTTTCTTTTAATGTAATTACACGTTATTTTGCAATCTTAGTGTGATATTAATTTCACTTTAAATATTCTACTTATCTAATTTTTAAATTTGTAATATTCTGTAGTTAGTATTCTGTATAATTTTTAAATTAAATCAATTTTTAAATTGAAGCATTTTGATTTTTCGATCGTGTGAGATCGGACGGGCGGGTAGCGTCTCGATCTGCTCCGTCGCATTACTCCATGGCAGGATCGCGACGAGTGTTTGGAGACACACGACGATATAATGCCACGTACAATTAGTAATTACCGAATTACGCGAATAGTTAGCTCTTGTAACAAGCGACGGATAAGCGGATACTCGAAACGACACACGTGTCTGTTTGTCGAAACGAGAGAATCCGCGACGCGATTCACTCGTTGAAGGTGGGAAATCGACGTGACGGGAAATGGGAGTTAACTTACTTATAAAACTTATCTGAGGCACTATAATTACTTCTCGAATGTAATTAGCTTCGTAATTCGACGGCGTTTGTGGAGGTAAAATTTATCTTTCCGGCTCTCCTCTAAAGGTCTAGAGAAAACATTGGATCAACGCGGAAATGCGATCAATTGCTAAATAGCGATCTATCAATTTCGTGGTTTGATATTTGTCAATCACGTAACGTTTAAATTTGGCACGTACTCGCTGATTCAATTAAAACCTCTCTATCGCTCAGGACTCGACTGTTACGTTTAAAATTTGCGAGATGTCGCGCGTTTCACACGCGGAGCACAGCTTTGTGCGATCATATTTTTTCCACGTCGTGAATTTTCCATCGCGGATAATTAACTCCGGGAGTGTCAAACGAAATATCGCGCGTATTCGACAGATTGTTGCGCGAGCTATCATAATTAATCGCATTTATGCGAGTGAGTGTTGTATTAATATCCTAAGGGAACAGACCTGAGAAGAGGAGAAAATCTAAGAGAGGCATCGAGCGACAGAGGTAATTTATTTAATCAAATTATTATTTGATTTATGATGTTTAATTAACCATCTTAGTTAATCATACTTTTATCATTTGTCGGAATTACTCGTTTATTTTTATCTAGATAAGATTCGATGAGATTTAAATAAGAATTAGAAAAAATAACTTGTGAAATTTTATAAAAATTTATGCTTAAGATATCTTTCGGAAATTATTTTAAAATTATAATTATTGAATCTTTTATTTGTTTCTTAAATAGACATTTGATATAAATAATTATAATTCATAAACACAGAAAATTCAACACGCGCGCAACAATTATTTTTTGAGATATCAATTATTTTATGGGCATTGCTACAATTTGGTTTCTGTATTTATATTTTATAAATCAACATATAGTTATAACTCTGCTGTTGCGTACTCTGCGTTGGCGAGTGCTAAATTACATTTTATTTTAATTCGAGGTAATGGATCTGTAAATATTATATTGTGTTAGATAAAAATAACATTGCACAGATTTATTACCTTGAATGAGATTGGACAGATTAATACAAATATTTAATTCTCTGAAATATGCATATTATCGTCCGTTGATCTATTGTTTATACGAGAATACATGCAAAGCATATTATATAATGTATATTATTATTATTAATGTGCAATTGACCGATCTTGTTCATTAACATGTTTGGTTTTATTGCGCACCAGAAGAGTAATTACAAAGTACTATCGTTTAAAATTTTGAAATAATTTAAATTTGCGCTTAAACAAAAAAAAGCTGAGAAATTTAGAATTAGAATATATTTAATAAAATGTGAAAAACAATAATTTTTTAGAGAAAACTCTTTAAAAAAATTTTTATTTAATATATTTTATGGACGAGAAGATTGAGACAAAATGTTAAAGTATTTTTTTATATATTAAAATAAATATATTATAAAATATAAATATAAAATAAATATTATAAAATAAAAATAAACTAATCGGTAAAAAACTGATTTTTCCCAAAAATATTTCTAATAAAATAAAAAGAATTTGCGCTTGACCTCTCCAGGATTAAATATTATATAAATGAGCGCAAGAAAACAATTCAGAGATTTTTTTGAATATTCATATTTTAGCAACATGAATAAAAGAATGATCGTAAATATTTCACAGTCACATAACATATGATTTATTTAATAAAAACAGAGTGATTGTTATTAATATTATTTATTACTACAATGCGCCAATTTTATATTTCTTTCGTAGTTTATCCGAGGAATAAATAATTTAAACTAGAAAAAGCAATAATAACGACAGATTGATTCGCATATAGTCACCTATGCCGAGTGCACAAATTCTCTGTAATACCAATTAAATAATTTTATTATTTATTAACGGTACGAATTATCTTCTCGTATTACAATTTTTCATTTTAATTAATATCTAAAATATGCTATTTTAATTAATATCTAAAATACCATTAGAGTTTTATATGATGGCTGAACACTCTATATAATGAGAATATAGAATATGTAGCGCATCCGTGTTTCGGTGAATTCATTTACATAATACAATTATTGTTATTATTCGAAGTATTCGGCATTATAGTTCCAGAATGTGAAAATTCTCTACGCGCAATATTAATGCTCCTTTTTAATATTGTACAATATCATGAAAAATAAAAAGATAAACACGGCTTGTTGCATAATGCTCAGTCATTTCAGATATTTAATAGCGACGTTGTCGCTCGGTACTTGTCTGGAAAATTTTTCATACATTCTTAATTCGTTGAATATTAAATCATAAAAACATTTACCGGTTCACGTACATTTCATTGTTTCATATCATAAAAAAGTTAGTTAATCTACTTGTCCCAAGTACTCGCTGAATGTTGTACCGATGAATAACGGATTTGGGCACAAGCCGGATGTGAGCCAAATTAGCGAGAGCCGCCGGTGCGGCAACGATTTATAAAGCAAGAG